AGCGAAAATTTGGAATGTGCTAATTGATGGATGGGTTAGCCTTTCACATGACTGGGGATAGGCTGCTGTAAAAACATCCAAGATATGTATGTTTGATGTATTTACTAGATATGCATGTGTAGGATAAATATTTATTTTTCTATGGCTACCATCTTCGTTTTCTTCTACTTAGTTTGCTGCATGTCTGATACGAACTTTCTACAAACGAGTTTCACTTTCCACTCGAAGAAAGCAGCCAAAAGGCAGCCCACAAAATAGAAGGAGAAGTGGAAGGCGAAGGCGAAGGCGAAGAAGGAGAGAAGTAGGAAGAGACCTGAAAAGAGATTATGCAAAATGGTGGCGGGTAGGGTAGGGGGAATGATATTAATATATCGCTTATCGATCTCTTACGCAATCCAAATAACCGATTGAAATGGAATTCGATTTATTGCATTTCAATTTCCATTTCCATTTCAACTTCAGTTCAAAACTGACTCCAACAGTCTCTTGAAATGATTATTAATGACAATTAACATAACGATATGTGAGAGATCTATACCATGGCCTGTTGCTGTTGCTCTGTTGCTGTTTCCATAGCTATTGCTGTCACATGACACTTGACTGTAGGTGGGGTCTCTCTCTCTCTCTCTCTATATGTCTCCATCTCTCTGCTGCTGGGGTTTCTGTGGGTTTCGGAGTCTGTGGGCAAGGTGTCGAACCGGTTTGTTGGCTTCACAGCAATGATAATTTCTTGCTGTCAGCATCAGCATCAGCATCATGATCGACTCAATGGGCACCCACCGGCTAAGAGCAAAACAGGGCAACAAGTTGGGGGTAATAACAACAATAATAATAATAATAATAATAATAATGCAAAGAAAAATGTACTTTTGTGGTAATATGTTAGGCTGCACACAGGCATAGATACACGTGTGCATAGATACAGATACAGCTACAGATGCACAGATACTTATAAGTACACTGTGCAGAGCGAGAGAGAGAGAGAGAGAGAGAGAGGTGTCTGCCTGCTGGCCACGGCTTGGCCCGGCCCGGCCCGGACCGAACCGGACCGGCTAAAAAGTCTGTTGCCCCTCCTGCCCGCCCTTCTATTCCCCTGCCCCTCCCTTCATCGTCTTACCAGTCTGTGTCATGGCACATTTCCACATTTCTCTCTGGCACTCTCTCTCTATCTCTAGCGGCCGCGGGGGCTAGCGCATTATTCATGCCAATTTCTACAAGTTTTTCTCTTGTGATTTTTTTTTCTAATTTATTTTTCATTGTCTGTTGTATTTGTTCTTGGTATAAGTGGACAATGTACAAAGATGTGTACATATGTATGTATGCATGTCTATGTAGTAGTATGTGTATCTATGTAGTATATTGTACATATGACTGCGGATGTATTCAGAGATATTTGTACCCTTTTCTGTGGCTTTTCTTCCCCAGCTTCCACTCCACAGAAAGAGGGAATATTGAATAAAGAAAAGACTGAAAAGCAGGAGGAAGAGCCTCTGCAGTGTCTGAAAGAATGAATGAACCCGAATGAATCAATGAAGAAATGATGAAATGAGGATAGCAATCAGCAGAGTCACGGAATGAATAGCGTAGAGAAATAATCTACAGATAAAAAAAATGTTGCAAAAAATCAAAGAATGTGAATGAGAATTGAGTGATGCTATGAATGAATGAATGAAGGTATAACCGATTGAAAAACTTTGCAAATAAAAGTTGAATGATTAAGAGGTATTCCCCAGTTCGAGCTGTGGCATTGCGACTTGTTGCACGTTGCACATTGCACATGATTTTTCTGATTCTCTTGCAACTTGCTGCCTGCCTGCCTGCCTGCTTGCCACTGTGCTGTGTGCTTGTGTTGCATTCTTTGCAAAACTGGGCCAACGTCTGCTTATGGCCAAAAGCCCCCCTCCCCCCCACTACCCACTACCCCCCACTCTCCTGTAGTCCCTCCCCCCCCTACTTAGTGCACTTTTTATTTGCACTTGGCTGAACGTTCCGCCGTTTCATTTCATTAGATTGCTGTCGATGTGGATGTGAATGTCGATTCCATTCCCCCCCGCCCCGACTGAGTGCAGAATGGAGTTTGCTTCTCCATTCTGTAGCGTTCGAATCCCATCCAAATTCGTTCCGTTGCACAGAGACATCGCTGTGCGATGTTGTCATCGATCCAGCCAACCCACATCCTACGTCCATTGCTGCAGTATAACCAAAATCAGAGATTTTTCCACTCTTGCCGAGGTCGTTCCGCCACCGACCGACCTGTGGCAAGACTGGTGCCAGCGAAGAGACCAAAAGTTTAGCCCACGTTTAGCCACAGGCAGGCACTGGGAGGGGCGGGGCGGGGCTTGCGGTGGGGCCAACTCAATCAAATCTTTTGGTATAAATTGATGACTTTTCCAACCTTCTCTGGTTTGACATTTCCCCATCAACAAAAACAAAGTCGGATCCCCTCTCTGGACAGGCCTCTACGCACATGCCGTATGCGTGGTTAGAGATCTGTGAATACTAAAAGTATGTGGAATATATGTATACATATTATATATAGATCTATGAGTTTTGGCAAGAGAATGCCCAGCAATATAGAGAGAGAGAGAGCAATAGAGAGAGAGATGGAGATGGGGATGGGGATGGGGAAGAGCAACAACGTCAGTTTTTAAATAAATGACAAAATATGCAAAAGGCAGACAGAGACATTCGTTCTACATATACAAACACACCTTGTCTCCTCGTTTGCCCTCTCTTTATATACATATCTAATATATGTAGATATAGAATTCGGTGACGCAAACTGCGACAGACATTACACATGGGGCGGGCGAATTGCCCCAAAAAAAGTGAGAAGAAATACCAAAACGGAAGTGGTCGGTCGGACAACGCACTGTGTCCTTGTGGTAGCAGCCGTAGCCTTTTTCTTTGCGCTCCTCTGATTAGATTCCCCCCGCCTTGGCAACAACCACGAATATTCCATATCTGTGGGGTATCCAGCAAATGATGATAACTTTTGATATGATAATACTCGTATGGCCTTTGCATTGAACGGATCATTGGATAACCCACACACACACCCACACCCACACCCACAAGGGAGTCGTCTCTCGTTTCCACTTCCACTCACACAGTTCAGTTACAGAGATCGAACCAACTAAGGAAGTGAAGTAAATAAAAGCCTTAACCAGAGATCGCAGACGAAAGACGAGAGACCGTTTGGTTTCAGTTACGAAAATGGTCATTAAAATGTCTTGAGACGGCAACAAGTTTGTTGCTTCAGCCCATAGTCATAGCCATAGCCACAGGTATAGCTACAGGTGTGTGCGTGTGCGTGTGTGTGTGTGTTGGCCATAAAAGGTTCATTCGGGTGGAGCTGCACTTGCTTGAAATACTCTTGGGCAGCAGAGGAGAACTTTAACTGGTTCATCAGGCAGAGCAGAGGAGAGCCAAGCGGCATTAGAACTGCAAGCAGTGCAAGAACTGTGATGAAAGTAGTTCATTAGACAAGCAGTATAATAAGTGCAAGCAGTCGTGGAATATGTTATGGAAACTGTACCTAAATGGGTACATTTTGAACATTTGAACCCTTCAGCTTTGATTCTGACTTTCATGCATATCATTTTTTCAAGCGTCTGCCAGTTTTACTAAACCCCTATTTCCTCCAATGTAATTGAAAATGAAAATTTTGTTAGATAAGATACGTGCGGTTAGGGCATTCCATGGTCTTCGGGCATACAAACATAAGTGTGAATGTATTTATTCCCATCTTGGCCAATTCCGTATGCGTGCCACATGGTGCGACTCATTTGACAATCAGTCATACCGCATAACGGGGCTCAAACGAGTGGAGTGGCCAACAAACCGAAATTACCTCCCTCCCTCCCTGCCAGAGGAAGTTCCCTCCGTGTGGCAAAAAAAACTTCCGAGTGTTTTGTGGCTTGCTGCGATTTCGTATAAAACGAACGAGTACTCGAATATAGTCTCTACAGAGTACGATATGGGAAGTAGCTTATTATCTATGTCTCCCGCTCTCTCTCTCTCTCTCTCTCTCTCTCTGTCTCTTTCTGCTGATGAGCGTTGCGCCAAATTCAATTAGCCAACTGTGTTATCTGTGCGGGGCCAGCTTAGATAGGGCGGGCCTGTTGCTCTGGCCGCAAATATTTGGCCACATTTGTTGGATCTTCGCAAATAGAGCAGTTTCTGTGGCTGCTTATCGCTCGGGTATCTCATTTGGTTATTCATTGCGTATACGCACAGATGGCCAGGCGTGACAATGTACCCATCTCTCTTTCTCTCTTTTCTCTCACTCCCTCTCCCTCTGTGTCTGTGTCTGTGTCTGTTGCTGGCAGCGTGGGCGAGATGCTGTAATGACAGACAAAACTGTTACAAGGCTGTGTCAACTTCTATAGGCATTCCATTGCCCCAGCTCTTGCTGGGCCCCCACCCCCTCCGCTACCCCCAATTTGTTTCTGTTTTCACACAGTTTTCCGTTCTGGTTTTTTTTTTTGTTCGTTGTGTTTTTTAATTGCTCGTCGAAAAGCCATTAACGGGTTGCCATACCATGGATAAGTGCCACAAATTGACCGGAGGCTGCCAGTCCGGAGAGTTCAGGCGAAACTACACTCAAAAGTAGGTTCTTAACCCAAATGGCGTTGACAGGCAGCATTCGCACAGACTTTGACCACATTTAAGCCAGATGCTTAGATGGGCCGAGCGGATCTGCAGGTGCCAACAGATTTAGCGAATTTTCTATATTTTCTCAGAACCCCCAAAGAGCCAGAGCTTGAGCCTTTGCCCAATAATTTAGACAGAGGAAATTGGCATAGAAATTTGACTGCTTATCTGGACTGCTTTTCTACCGGTACAGTAAACTGCTTGATAAGTTTGCTTCGAGGAAAAGCCTTTTAAATCGAATCTAAGAGTTTGGCCGCGCCTCTATTCACTTTCGAAATTTGGTAATTCTGTAATTCTGAAATTCTTCTCACAAAAATCTCTTTTCTTGTTATCCCTCGCTACAGATTCTACAAAACTTGGGAAAAGTGGATCGGACTGCAGACGAAATCTTCGACGATCACTTGAACAACTTCAATCGCCAACAAACGAGTGCCAACAGATTACAGAAGGAATTCAACAATTATATAAGATGTGTTCGCGGTAAGACACATCCCATTGGACACACAGACTCTGTGTTTTTTCATATACAATCTTGTATCTTGTATCTTATCTATTGCGACAGCTGCACAAACCGCCTCCAAGTCCCTGATGGATGCCGTGTGCGAGATCTACGAGCCACAGTGGAGCGGCTACGAAGCCCTGCAAGCACAGACAGGCGCCTCGGAGAGCTTGTGGGCGGACTTTGCACATAAACTGGGGGACCAAGTGCTCATACCACTCAATACATACACCGGACAGTTTCCCGAAATGAAGGTAAAGCCCCGCAGGAACTTTTCTCAACTTTAATGATCATAATATGTACATTGCGTTCGTTGCAGAAAAAAGTTGAGAAGCGCAACCGAAAGCTGATTGACTACGATGGCCAGCGCCATTCGTTCCAAAATCTCCAGGCCAATGCCAACAAACGCAAAGACGACGTCAAGGTGGGTAGAGGCCGATCCTCGTCCAGTGCGTGATCTTTGCTAAAATTCTGTTCATTAGCTGACCAAGGGACGCGAACAGCTGGAGGAGGCCCGACGCACCTACGAGATCCTCAATACGGAACTGCACGACGAGCTGCCTGCCCTGTACGACTCGCGAATACTGTTTCTGGTGACCAACTTGCAGACGCTCTTTGCCACCGAGCAGGTCTTCCACAACGAAACGTCCAAGGTGCGTCCCAGAGCCACATAAAATACCCATAAAAATACTTTAATCTGTGTGTGTGTGTGTGTGTGTGTGTGTGTTTTAACTCTACAGATATACTCGGAACTGGAGGCGATTGTTGACAAACTGGCCACAGAATCGCAGCGCGGCTCTAACACGCTGCGCAAACAAACAAGTAAGTTGTACCCCATGTACCGCCCCATTGCTGGCTGGCTGACTGTTGTCTGATTCGTTAACTCCTTAACTCACACAGGCAATGCCATCAAGACGTCGAGTCCAGTGCAGTCGCCGGTGAACAAGCTGAACAATGCCAGCATCAACAGCACCAACTACCAGAATCAAATTACCACCAATGGGGGCTCCAGTCTGGCGAACAGCCGTAAGTCCACACCCCCCACCCCCCCACCTCGAGGGGTGTTCTCCCACTCCCGCTCTGTCTCTATGTCTATCCCCCTGATCCTTAATTATTCTCTGTTACTTATTGAATTATGTTTGTTTCTTTGCTTTCCACTTTTACTTTTACTTTTACTTTACCCTTTTCGTTATTCTTTTTCCTTTTGCTGAAACGAACAAATAATTATTATAAATTGCTCGAAACTGTACAACAACAAATCTCATTGCATTAAAGTTGAACTTTAAACAGAGCTCAATATCATACACAACATATAGAACGAATATCTGTATACCCTACCCCGCACTGTATCTAAATATGTCCATGAATGATGATTTCGCAGTAGTTTTTGGCAATTTATAAGATTAATTTGTTTAGACTTTGTTTCAAATTGATTGGCAACTAATTCGGTTAACTTTTTCGTTGAGTTTTAAACTAAAAAAAAAAAACCTTTTGGCATTGCGAGAACATTCCATTTGTAGACGATCTCGCGATTGTAAATACAAACAAAATTGTTGGCAACGGCGGCCTGGGCTAGACCTAATCTATCTATACCATATACATATAAATACTATACCCTTAAGGTGCCCCAATCTCCCCCCCCAATGGATCCGAGAGCAGAATAATGATGGTATATGATAGTACATATGTATGTACATATGTATGGATGTTTATGTGGACTGGCCCAGGCTGCGGACTGTGGTCAAATGGAATGCTTGTTGCATGTTCTTGTCGAAATGGAGCTCTCCTTTAACGCCCTTTAACCTGCATGTCCTGAGTTATATTTGATTTATTTTCTCTCTTTTTATTTGATCTTTTGTTTGGAATGATGCTCTCCTCTCTCTAACCACAAAAAAAAAAAACAAAAATACCACACCAACTGAATGAAATAATACAATCGAATCGAATGCATTCAAAATACAAAAATCAATTCAACAACAACAACAACATCAAACGTGTAAAAATCCAACCAAAATGAAACCACACACACACACAAAACACGATAAATATAAACTATACAAATGTAGCAACCTCCACGAGCTCGTCCCAGCAAGAGCCGAGATTTGATTCCATTTCTTCAACGCCAGAACCAACGCCGGAGTCGCCGTCGCCGCCGCCAAATTTAAAGCAGCGCAACAGCAGCAGCAGTCCAGTGCCAAGCAGTCCTACGCCTGCGGATGCAGTGAATGGTTTGACCACCACAAGCAGCGCCCAAGCAGTGGACACGGCCGAGCTTAGCAGTCCGAATGCCAACACAAAGATCACAACAACCACACAGACAACGACAGTGACAAAGACGGAGCAGAAAACAGCAGCAGCAGCAGAAGAGGGAGCAGCAGCAGCAGAAGCAGCATCACCCCTCCAGGTGAACGGTAATGGAAACAACAACAATCAATCCCCGGCCAGCAGTGCCAGTGCACAGGCAAAGGAAAAGGAAAGCAACAGCAGTGCCAGTGCCAGTGCCAGTGGCGGTGCCGGCAAACATCCCAAAGAGCTGCCCACAACAACAACGAATGCCGAAGCAGCGGCCGAAGCGGCAGCCAATAACGGCAACTCAATCGAGGAGCACAACAAGAAGAAATTAGGTAATGCAACAGCGATGGGCGTCACCACAACAACCACTACTACTACCACCAAGCACTTAGTTACATCAACAGATACAGATACAGAAACAGATAAAGATAAAGATACAGATACTCATACAGTTACAAATACAAGTACAAGTAGAGGCAGCAATCAGATCAGTAGGCAATTAGTTGATAGACAAACCGTTAATAATGCTAATAAGAATCCGTTCGAAGAGGACGATGAGCGTATCTACGAGGTGCCCAATGGTAAGTAAACCTCAATACGAGTCCACTGGGTCCACTGTCTCTCTAGCTCCTAGCTCTCTCTATCTCTTAATCTCTCTGTGTAAATCTTGTCACTATCTCTCTGCATCCCCCCCACTTATAAGTACGATTTACGCCGTGTCGTCTGGTCAGTGAACTAACTGGGATATGCTGCCCAAGCTAAGGCTGCTCAGGCTTAGACTCATGCTCAGACTCGGGCCTGTCTAATTTTGTTGTCAACTAAAGCAGTAGAGTTGCCCGTTGATCGGAGCACTTTGTATTGTATTTTAATGTTTGGTGTGTGGCATGCTGCAAGGGGCATCCCCACTCTAGCAGGCTCTATCGAACCACTCATCTGGCATTGTTGACATTGGCGGTCATCTCTGTTCTCATCCCTCCTCGGCTTGCAAATTTATCTCTGCTCTCATTTTGGGTTTAGTTTTAATGTCGTATTAATTGGGCGAAATGGAGTAAGCTACGCTACTGGTTTCAGGTGTCCTTCAGCACGTATGTAGGCTATTCTTATTATTATTATTATTATTGGTTTATCAAGGTCCACCCACACCCACCAGCCACCAGCCACCATCCACACTCGATTCACGATCACCCGTCCATCATACAATCCATTAATCGCTTGCACGTACGCTGCTTCAATCGTTGGTTCATCCCGCGCTGATCCCCCCCTCCCCTGAACACTAACTCCACGAGGAATACTAACCACGTTTGGCCAAGTTTGCTCCTTTGTTGTTGTTCCGCTGCGTGCGTTTGTCTACTAAACAGAGCTACCGTATGCTATGCCACCATTATTCATGTACACTGATGTGACGTGTGTCTTTTGCGGGATGTACTTGAGCATGGATGCTGAACCGAAAACACTCTGCTCTTTCCACACAGATGCCAACACGGCTGACCTACCGGCCGGCGTGCTCTACCGGGTGAAGGCCACCTACGGCTACGTGAAGGAGGATGTGGACGAGCTGAGCTTTGAGATCGGGGACACCATTCGCGTGATCGAGTACGATGATCCCGAGGATCAGGTAAAGTTAATGCAGTTGAACTGCCTTCTCGTCTCGTCTCGTCCTGTCATGTCCTTCAGCTAGTTGCCCCCTCCCCGCTTGTGGCAGATGGATACACTTCTTGTCTTTATTGATTGCAGTTTTTTCTTGCCAATTTACAGGAGGAGGGCTGGCTAATGGGTCAGAAGGAAGGCACCAGCGAGAAGGGACTCTTCCCCGCCAACTTTACGCGCCCCATCTGAGCGGAGGTGGACGCGCGGAGCCGCAGCTGAGAACCAATCCACCAAAACAGCCACACAAACAGCAGTCTCCACCCCACCCAACACTTTGTTATACCATAATAATTATCTACAAAACGGAAATCCCAATCCAAACTTTCGGCCAAACTTTCTTTGTAAGCGCTGCGTCAGTTTTTGTCCCATTATTAAAAAATTCTTGTTCTGTGGAAACGCATTCTTTCGATTAGCAATCCTTCGATTGTTAGATTAGAGCAGTGCTTCCAGTTATTATTAATTATTATTGTTAAAGAGAACACCACACAAAGGGAAATCGAAGCATAAACAACACACACACACACAGACACACACTTTGAGGATGTTTCAAATTTTATTTTCTAGTTTTAAGTCTCGGCAAAGCAAATCAACGTATAAATACATACATACATACATACATACATACATATATTATTTGTTAAAACTACTATTGTGCTCATAATTAATGCGAACAAAATGTGTATTATGTTAAAGGCAAACAAACAAACAAACAAACCCACACACAAATTCAACGCATATCACTCGAAAGCAAAGAGTAATTGTTAAACAAAAATTAAGAAACAAAAGAAGCATGAAGGAAGAAGGAAGAAGGAAAAGGAGGATAACGGATAACCTTAACCTGAACATTTTGTATGTGTATTTTGCAAATATGTAGTACGAGTTTTTTATAGTCAATTGTGTGTAGCGTATCTGGAGTGAACGGCCAGGCCAGTAAAAGGAAATTCACATCGGGTGCCTCCAGGATTTTGATTTGGAAATGAAAATTGTTTTCAAATAATAAATTGTAATTGTATTGTTTCTTAATTATTTTTTTTGTTAAACCAACTCGAACTAGCGCCAGCTTTATAACACGAGAACAATCCAATAGTCACTAACAGATCGATTCGAGGTTTTATTTTACTTTAATTGATTGTAAATCGAATGAATTGTTTGACCCGAACCGAAATAATTGTTTAAATTGTGCACACTGTAAAGTTATTATTTAAATTTTATTTAATTAATTTAAACACTTATTTATCGCATGAATATATTGAACAAATGATAATAATTTACAGCAATGCAAATAAAACATAGATTAAACGAAGTATTTGAATTTGCTCGTGGGCGGGTAATACAATACGCTACTTACACTGGTCATCCATTTGATGATAAGACGCTTTGCAGCACTGGGGGCTAGTCTTTATTTTGCTATATCATCTGCCCCATCTCTGGCCACACTGGACGCTTATACACGTAGATAACGATAAAAATACCATAAATAAATTAATACCATTTCAGTTTCGAGAAACACCACTTAAATACCATTAATTTAAAAAAATAATTTCCAGATTTTTTTTAATTTCAACAAATAAGTTATATAATTCATATTACAACATATTTCTTATTTTATCTATTGTTTCCTTTATTTAAATTACTTCACAAACTTAAAATACGGTAGTTCAAAGTAGTTTACTGTTTTACAAGCCTTGCTTTTGCTCTCAAAAAGCCGGCACTTTAACATTTGATAGGGTTCTTAGTCTTCTCTGTACTTCTGCTTGTTCAATTTTCATGGTGAAAGAATACAATGCGTGACGATAAAAATATACCATGTATACCAGTATATACCATGATAAAATAAAATACTTCTGGCAAATTTGGCATTAAAAAATACCATAAAGTATTTAAAGTACCATAAACGGTCACGCTGATCCCTAGTTTGCGTGTGGATTTCGTGGAAAAAGTGTAAATACTTGAGAAAATTCAAGAAAAACAAGCGAAAAAAGTTACTGCGGGTCGTGCGTCAACGTTAGCGAACAATGCAAAATCAAATATGTTGTGAGTTTCGCCAAAAATCCGTGGACACACCGACAGCCAGCCACCAGCAATCGAATCGTATCCTGGTCTCCAGTCCTCGACACCTATAATTCCCAGTCGGCCCCAAAAAACAACCCAAAATCGATTGTGAAGTGCGCTTTCAGATGAAATGCATGTGCAATGGCCTGAGCAAACGCCTAGTAAAAGTAATGTTAAACAATTGTTGAGCGAATTGAGCAATTTTCGCGTTGCTTTTCCACCAAAATTTTTTCATGTTCGTTTTTGGCCTCGCCCGTCGTCGTCGCTCTGTGTGTATTCGTTTCGCCGATAAAGCAGTTCGCCGCTCCAAGGAGTGCGAGTGAAACAGATATAGCGGTGACAACACTGCAGTGCACTGCTTGTCAGCAGAAAACACCATCGCCACAAAAAAAAGAAACGAAAAATGTTGCAAAAACTCTGTCGTGGGGGTGGTGATGGGCGATAATTGAACGTTTTCGAGTGTTTATACGAGAATTTAAAGGAAAAATATAGAAGACACGTAAATGAATAGCACTATATGAAACGCGGCTCGAAACGGCGGGTCTGAAAAAATTTCAGCCCCTGCTGCCTGACATGAGTTCCGTTCCTTGTGGGTGTCGATAAGGCAGGGTAGGGCATGATACGATTGTGGGTGGCGCTGATGGGTGGGAGGTCGAACGTCCAGCTCTCGGTTGTGTTTACTTTAACCAATATGATACGACGATTGGTATTCGGATTGGCAATGCATTCTAATAATTTCTGCTCTGTTCTTACTCTCTTTCGTTTCGTTTCTCTCTCTCTCACTCTCACACTTACTCTTATTCCACCTGCAGTTCCACTGCATACAGAAAAATAAACAAACACAAGAAGCATAAAGTATGCAGAAAATTAAACACAAAAGGAGCCATTAAGTGTTGCGTGTGAAAGAATTAACCGTTTTGTGCAGCTCGTCGTCGTCGTCGTCGTCATACAACCTTTCTGTTTCAATAGCACATAAAATGGATATTTGTTGAAACCTTGTTGCATTTACAAACTGGTGTTTAAGAAGAAGAACAACAACAACAAGAACAGCGAGGCACAAAACAAAAAATATTAATATATACATTTATATAGCATCAAATTTACATTAAGCCGCCAAGTCAAGACGTGGAAGAGGGGAGACAAAGAAGAAGTAATTTTTATTGTAGGACAAACGCACCAGTAAAATTAATCAACCAACTACACACGTTCCTTAAAACAAATGTTTTCCAAACCGCAAACCAACTAAACGAAATATGCTTTTGAATTAGTTTAAGCAGACAACAAACCACAGCAGAAAACCAGAAAGCTAGCAAAAGCAAAACCATAAAAAGCGCGAAAAATCATTTTAATTTAACACCAACAAAAGCCTGTGGAGACGATATATATATATCTCAATATATATATCACACCATATATACAGATTTATATAGAAGAGATACCCCGGATATCCAGAACGTAACGACACCGATTAAGCCAAACTGCAGGGAAAACAACAGCACAACACTCAGAGAGCCAGCAAAGAAAGAAATCTATATTTTTATTATTTAGTGCTAGCAAAAACAAAAAACAAAACAAAAAGAAAGAAAGGGGAACGTCGTATTGGAGAATCTCGTCAGATTAAGTGGAATTCTATCTCCGATAAAGCACTGAGTAAGTAATATCCTCCATACATACATATGTATGTACATCTAGCATAGAATAGTATATATGTATGTATCTAATTATCTATGTAAATTCCCCACCGACCGACCACTTGTTGCCTGAAACTGCGATTTCATGCGGTCCTCAACAAAGGGAACTAAATATTCAATCAAGCTATCCCCTTCTACTGGTTCTGTATACATATGTGCATGGTGTATGTTTGATAAGGGGTTGTTGCAATGTAATTATAGTTGCAATGAGTAACTTTATGGCATTTCCGCAACTGGGTTCGGTTCCCGTTTCCTTTCTGATCACATCCCTCAAATCCAATAGGCCGAGTACAGTAGCCAGATGAAGTCATATCAAGATTAAGAAGACAAATGGAATGATAGTATCTACCGAGGGGCCGCTACCCTTATCATATGCATATAAGGAAGATAAGAACATACCCGCGACCAGTTGGTGGCATGATACTATATCTAGCAAACTATTGTTAGAAAAAAGTTTCTCTGTGCCAATTCTCACTCCCACACTCCCCCTGCCAGACGTGCCCCTGACCATGGCCCTGTGAATTTGCCCCTGCCCCTGAATTTCCAGCTACTGCTAATTAGATTTTCCAGCTTTGCTCAGTGGCAAGTGTTCCGTTCTTTTTTTTTTCTTTTCCTTTTTCCACTGTCAATAACATTATCCTGGGGTGTGGGAGTCGCAAGCCATTACTCCTCAAGGTCTCCAGTATCCAATATGAGGCTCCTATTTCCCAGGCTGCTACTTCAAAGCTTTCCCTCTGCACTAGCAGCGCGTAGCACTGGCCATTCCATCGATATTTTGTTATTTTCCGTCTGAAAGCCTTCCCATTTCCATCCTACATATGCATTTGCGCCAACAATTGGATTAGCGAGCACTCGATACGGGAAGCGACTGCAGCAGCAGAGAGGAAATAGCGCCTGTGGCCTAGGCTGAACCACGCGGACAGGGTGACGCTTTGGGGTGGACTCCCAAAGACTCAGGAACCTAAAGAATTAGCTTCAGGAATAAGAAGAGATTTCCTCATCGGCCTTTTAACAGAAAATGCAAATTGTAGGAGACACAAATTAGACCACGGAATCGAATCCGAATATGGTTCACCCGGATGGGGAACACTCTCGTGAACTTGTGACTGGGCGAAGCCATAGATTTTCCAAAATCAGCTTTCTCGCATTGAACTTGGGACCAGACCCGGCCAGACCCGGCCAGGCCACTTCCACAATCTGTTGGTCGTTGCCCACCTGTGTGTGCGTGGCGATTAGCAGGGGGAATGGCAACGGTAGATGGCTGGTGGCATGGCTCTTGTACACGGTGCATGCGCGCAGAGAGGGCCAGTCCAGCCCGTGTCCAAGCCAGACCCACAGCCAAAGCCAATGCCATGGCCAGGGGCACCACACTCGCCGTTCCCGTTGCCGTATCCGTAGCCGTAGCCGTAGCCTTCGTTGTCGTCAGTTTGTGAGCAGGCAAATATGAAATGTTAATTGCCAATACTGGACACAACGCGGCGAACTCTCGGTGAGCTAACAAGTGTGTTAGGTCGGTGTAGGCTCTATTCGAAACAATATACCATATATATATATATATATATATATATATAGCCAATAGTTATAGTTATGTGTGTTCGTTTATATAATGGAATTCTAAATCAAAGTATCTTCTTGCACCACCCGCAGATGTTCTTGTTCTTCGCTGGACTACAAGGGGAAACAATCGTCGTTCGTCATTCGTCATTCGTGCATCAGAGTCTGAGTCGGAGTCACAGAGTCTGGAGTCTGGTCAAGGATTTAGTGTAAAACCTATAAGAATAAGCCATCGAGGGAAAGGAAAGTGAACGGGGTAGTAAGCAATAGCCAAAGAGAGCCTGTCGAGCGGATTGTGGCAGCGGGAGGATCGGAGAGTGAGCAACGCCAAAGTACAAATGCATAAATCGAAACTGAATCTATAACTTAGAGCCGGGTATCAAGCAATTCCCCTGAATGCACACACATTCAGGACACCAGCACCAATCCAATCCAATTTAGACGCAGCAACAGCAGAAGCAGCAGCAGCAGCCGCCTCAACAGATCCCCGCCCCCAAACAATTAGATTAGCCTACAGCTGAGAGATAGATAGACAGACAGACATAGACAGGCAGGCAGGCAGAGCTCTTCTGTAGCCAGCAACTCCTCCTCAACCTCCTCATACAATTTTGTAAGCGTAACGGAGAGTCGACGTAGTGGCTGCAGCACGCGTAAGCGTCCATAAATCTAGTTAGCATGGAGTGCTGTTTATCGGAAGAGGCCAAGGAACAAAAGCGCATCAATCAGGAAATCGAGAAGCAGCTGCGACGCGACAAGCGAGATGCGCGCCGGGAGCTTAAATTGCTTTTGCTTGGTAAGTGTACCCCTGCCCCTATGCCCCTAAGCAATAGCCACGCAGGATGTGTTGCAGCGCGTTGCAGGACGTGGGTTGGCACATTTTGATTGCATTTAGCTTGGTTTAATGCAATTGAACTACGCTAATTGCAAGTGAGTGCCCTTTGTGCCGTGAGCAGAACAAAATCGAAGCCCCACAACAGCTGCCCCGCTACGCTCATACATATGTACACCCCCTTGCAACCGCTTAGAAATCTGCCGCTTCTAAAACTAAAAACATAATTTACAATTTTACAAATTTTGTACCCCTCCTCACACACACACACACACACACGCACACATACATTTGCAGGCACGGGCGAGTCCGGCAAGTCAACATTCATCAAACAGATGCGCATTATCCATGGCAGCGGCTACTCGGACGAGGACAAGCGTGGATATATCAAACTGGTGTTTCAGAACATATTCATGGCCATGCAGTCGATGATCAAGGCCATGGATATGCTTAAGATCTCCTATGGCGTTGGAGAGCATAGCGTAAGTTCCATTCATCCATCCAGCCAAAGAATCGCTTTAATTATATTTAAATCTATATATTTTTTTGGATTATCCACAGGAACTCGCCGATCTGGTGATGAGCATTGACTATGAAACAGTTACCACATTCGAGGATCCATTTTTGAATGCCATCAAAACGCTATGGGCCGATGCCGGCATCCAGGAGTGCTACGACCGTCGTAGAGAATACCAATTGACAGATTCAGCCAAATAGTGAGTTACTCGTAGGGAAATGCGGCTATCCCATTGACAACACAACACAAAACAAAACAAAACAGCTCTCGCAGCAAAGAGACTATCAACAACCTACAACCAACTCTCTGCAGACTCTCTCTGCATAAACTGTTTTTGTTTTACTAAAAATGATCTCATTTCTGTACACATAGTTATCTGATGGATCTCGACCGTGTGGCTCAACCTGCTTATTTACCCACTGAGCAAGACATTTTGAGAGTTCGTGTGCCGACAACGGGGATCATTGAGTATCCCTTTGACTTAGAAGAAATCAGATTTAGGTAGATACCATCAAAGATGTACATACATACACACATACATACATATATATATGTTAATTGCATGTGGCATGTGTCTGACTGATCCAATTTGTGATCTGATCTGATCTTTTCCTTTGGTTACTTATTTCTCTACTTATTACTAATCATTTCAATTAATTAACTAACAAATTGAGATTCTTTTTGAGCGAGAATTTGTCCCCTAGCTTACGTTTAGGATTACATTTCTTTTGAGGGATTGACTAGGGTCTTACACACTTCACAGCAGTACCGTAGCGAACTGGGACTGACTACGTACGGATTTTACTTGCAGTTTTGTTTGTTTTTTGTTTTTGGAAATTGTTTGATTGTGTGCCCAATTCTTTTCACATGTGTAGCTACCTAAGCGACTTAGCGCGAATCGAACTGCCCGACTTCTTGCCCACTGAGCAGGATATTCTGCGTGCTCGTGTGCCAACCACCGGCATACTAGAGTATCCATTCGATTTAGATGGCATTGTGTTTAGGTATACATGATACATGATATAAACCATATATTTGATGACTGCATTGGCCTGGCTAGAACATGGCTAGAAAAATAATAAGAATAAGAATAAATTTGTTAGTGTAGTAATTGCAATTTGTTATATGTACATAATTTATTTGTTTATAGTTTGTGGCTTACTAATTTAATGCTTCCTTATTTGGCTTTGAATTGTAGTGCATATTTTGTCCCCTATTTTATTCACCTGTAACTGTGCTAATGTGTGACTCTTATTAACTTGATGATATGTTTGATATTTAGAATGGTGGACGTGGGTGGTCAGCGATCGGAGAGAAGAAAGTGGATTCATTGCTTTGAGAATGTAACATCAATCATATTTTTGGTGGCGCTATCGGAATACGATCAGATCTTGTTTGAATCTGATAACGAGGTATGACGCTCGGCGGCCCCATTTAATCGTGTGAACATTTGCTAAACTAAAGATTATTCTCTCTACTATTTTCAGAACCGAATGGAGGAGTCAAAAGCTTTATTTAGAACTATTATTACGTACCCTTGGTTCCAGAATTCATCAGTTATTCTTTTCCTGAACAAGAAGGACTTGTTGGAGGAGAAAATTATGTATTCGCATTTGGTAGACTACTTTCCCGAATACGATGGTAAGTTTGCCCATTGCACTAACTCACTTTTAAGCCCATAACTCTGTACGATTTATATATATGGCCGCCATACGCACGCCATACCAGGTCCGAAGCAGGATCATGCTGCGGCCAAGCAGTTTGTATTGAAAAAGTATTTGGCCGCCAATCCAGATCCTGAACGGCAATGCTATTCGCATTTCACAACGGCCACAGGTGGACGACGTTAAACTTGCAACTCTTGAGCTATCTATTTGCTTTCCCCTACCCGCAAAAATTGCCAAACATTATCTATAGAATAATCCATTATACATACGTATATATATACGCTATTTGTATTGCTAGTTCTGTAGTCTTGCGCTAGATATAACATATCGAAACATCTTCTTTGGCTTATTTTACGAACAGGTCCACAGCGAGATGCAATCGCGGCCCGCGAGTTCATACTGCGAATGTTTGTAGACTTAAATCCAGATTCCGAAAAGATTATCTATTCTCATTTCACCTGTGCTACAGGTAAGAGAAGCACATGTGCGTTACATTTGGATGGGGTGCATCCCATGGTATGTGTGTGTGTGTGTGTGTGTGTGAGTCTGATTTTCAGCCTGGCAGAGTTACAGATCAAAGTAAAGGTAAAGGTAAGGGTAATCCCGCTCATAATATGCATTCGCTTCTGCTGCTATTGCTGCTGGAGTAGTCTATGTATCGCTAGTCAATTGTTGAGAGTCGGAGCAGACTGATTTATAACCGAATGCCTCTATTGGAACACACAGATACTGAAAACATCAAGCTTGTGTTCTGCGCTGTCAAAGATACAATTATGCAAAATGCACTTAAGGAATTCAATTTGGGCTAAACAACCAAATCTGCTGCAGCGAGGACAGAAGGATGCCGGGATGGCAGGAAGCCAGGATGTGCCGCAGTGCCAGGCAGGATGTGTCGCAATGCAAATGAATATTTGATTTATAATTGTATTTGAATTTGAATTTGAAAGTCCATTAATAAAAATTCATATTTATGCGTTATTGATGTCCACGCTGGAATGTCTGTGTACATAGTATATCGTAGTGGATGCCTTCCCTCCTTAAAGTATTTCAATTTACTAATCCTCGCTTTTAATGTCTTTCCTCTGCTTCGTTTAGATACTGAAAACATAAGGTTTGTGTTCGCAGCTGTTAAGGACACCATTCTGCAATCGAACCTTAAGGAATACAATTTGGTCTAAACTGGATTTGGACCAGTAAACTATTTTTGTGATTTTTACTATATATATATATATATATATATATATATATTTATGTATATATGCAAGCACACCCCCACGCAACACACACACACACCCAAACAAAACAAAAAAAAAAAACAAAAAACAACAACAATGTATATGTATATAAATATATACATTCATAATTCCTTTTTCGCATATTAATTAAAAACACAAAAGCGTGAGAAGCGGTGGAGTACGATATGTGGCCGAGCATAATAAGCATAAATAAATTAGACCCAAGACCCAAGAAAGTTTCGTAAAAATTGTAACATCAGGAACCGAGAAATTGTAGCATAAATAGAGCAGCAGCAACAGAGCAAACAGCAACAGAGCAACAGATACAACAGCTGCTACTGCAACAAGTAAAAAGCAAAACAAATTGATGTTTATTGAGAGAAATGAATTATGTAATAACACAAAATCTGATACAAGTACTAATAATATTTAAACAAATTTATTACGATAGAAGAAACTTTTGTAATAAAAACCGAAACAAGAATAAAAACCAAAATTAAGAAACTTACATTTAATCAAAATGCTTAGATCGGAACAACAAGCGGAAACAATTTTTGTCGTACTGAACGCATAACAAAACAAAACAAACAAAAGAAATGCAAACATTTACTGAAGAAACTGCAAAAACAAATTTAACCTAAACAAGATACAAGAACTTTTGCATAAAAAAAACCCCCCGAATAAATATATATAGAGTATATACACATATATACCGCAAAGAATATATGTATGTGTATATGTTTGGGTGTTTCTCATAACAGTTTCAAGGCATATGCATATAAGGAGTGTAAAAATATACATACATACATACATAAATCCAGATAACACATGCTAAGAGAAGAGAAGAGAGGAGGAATAATAATAAAAGCGAAATCATACATAATACTGTATTTTGTACTAGGCTAAATCCGTAAAGTGAATATTGCAACAATTGTTTACAGACAACTACATATATTTATACATGCATACAAACAAACATAATACACACAATATATGTATAACACACGAATGCATATGTAACAATTTATGAACCTATATTAATTTGCATTTCGGGAACCCACCACCCACCACCCCATTCATAATTGCATTGTAATCTATGCTCTGATTCATAGTAATACCAACAAGAAACAAAACAAATGAAAAACAAAACATAGGAAACAAAATTTATAAAGAATGATTGAGAAGAAGAGCCAGCCATCTGCATGAAGCGCACACCTTACATCCTAATTATTATTATTAACACGTGTCTGTGAAATTGTCGATAACCCCCGCCCTGCCCGGGAAGCAGCAGCAGCACCATCCGTGCAACATATTGATATTCAATCAAACGCCAGGTCCAATCCAGTCAAACGCGTCAGTCATTGATCGAAGAGCACCCACTCCTGTCCGAGATGAGGACTCGTCTCATCTCGCTCTCTCGCGTACTTTTGTTGCCATCAAAATTTGAGTCGAGCCTTGTGGCAATCTACGATATACATATATGTACGATGCTTATGTGAAGAAAAAAAAACTACAGTGAAATGATAGCTTGATTTTGGTACGTTCTATGATAATAATAGTAATTTTGATAGTCGTTTGCTATTTTATAGATTCTAATTAATGTATGCAACGGCGGACGCACTTGGCGGCCAGTCCCATGGCCTGCCAGGGGGCGTGCGCAGTTTTGTTTTTGTTTTTATAATTTAGTTTAATTTAATATATATACAAAGATAAACGATAAACATTATTAGTAACAAAGTGACGCACATCTACAGTTTAACAACATCAGCAACAACAAAACTATTTAATTTATGTAAAAATCCAAATAAAAACACACAATTTTACTCTACGCAAAAACCACACACATACACACACCCACACACAATAGAAAACAACAATTGAAACGTACATACATATATGTAAAATAAATATGAAGCAAAATGTTTCTCATAATTTTATCACATTTACTTTCTTAAACCAAGATTGGATCTTGGCAGCTCCCAAAGAATTTGCCCCCCCCCAGCACAGCCCGGCCGTAGCGAATGAATCAGTTGCAGTTTCTGTTAGAACGGGTCCAAAAAGCGTATTTAATCTGGATAGCGATATCAGAGTTTTGCGTTGGACAAGCGGCAGGAGCAGGAGGAGCCTTTAGCTAAACCATTAAACCGTGTGTACGTGTATGTGTACCCAGCACCGAACAGAACCGAACCGAACCCCATATGCATCTTAGTTTAGGTACGATCCAACAGTGTGTTGTATAAAGCTTTAATCCGCGTAACCACGTCTAGTAAATGTAAACGTAAAGTTAATAAAACATTTTTATGGTTAATAATTGATTAGCTTTTAAAAAGCTTCGATAAGTCAGTGTGTATTTTAACATAGCAGAGCATACTTATACATAAGTCAGTGTTGTCCGGCAAGCATATACCCGAATACATATAGCCCGAACGGAGTAGGTTTTTGAGGCAGCGCAAGCTTTGGCTCTGGCTCTGGCTCAGGCTCAGGCTCAGGCTCGAGATTGTCTTGGTCTCCCAGTTAGTTGGTACATTTACATACAAACGCGCACGCACACACACACAGATACACACACAAACACACATATAGTTTTCCGTCCAAAGAATGGCATCAGCAGCGAGAAGACAAAGTCTCCCATCAATTTTTGAGTTCGTTTTTGGTTATGTTGGTGCAGAAATTCAATCTCAATATACAGACACTTTTCGGCGGTTTCAAAAGCACACACACATACGAGTAATCTGAGTTGGTTTTATATCATTATGATTTATTGAAATTTGGTGCCTTTCCACTACTATTCACGGAATTCATGAGACACACACAGAGAATATGCAAAAGGAGCGTCAAGTCTCCAGCAGGTCATTATTTTGAGTATGGAAAAAAAAGATCTCCTTCGCCATCTCCATTACCCAAGTACTGGAGCCACTCTCCTGTTCCGCTCCACAAACGAGTATATCCACATAAATATACTATAATTAAACGGCTATCAGTATGTGTTTACATGTGCCAGAGTGTTGTATTTTGCTTTGAATGATTGATTCCCTCTCAAAAGTGCAGCGCATTGCAGTACAGTCACGCTGTCAGTCTGTCAGTCAGTTAGACAGTCAGTCAGTCAGTTGTATGTAAATATTTGGGATATTGTTTGATAATGGGGAAGCGGAAGCCCCTCGAGAGATACCACATACTCGAGCATATGTATATGTATGGAAATATACATTAAACTCGGTAAGAAACTATAATAGGCGCAGACTTTGATATAAAACGATTAATGTATGTATTTTGTATTTTTATATACATTTATAATTTTGGTTACACTTACAATTGTTACGATTAGAAAACTAAAACAAGCGAAAACCAAAAATAATAAAGAATCTACTAGCTATGTATGTATTTCCAAGATAAAAATAAAAGCAAAGTGCGTAATGCACAAATCGGATGATTGCTAAAGGAATTTCAAAATAATTTTAGGAATTAATATTAAAACAAGAAACATAAAAAAAAGAGATTTTCTAAGCAACAAACTCAACCAGAACTGCAAGCAAACGGGAAAACCAACCACTTATATGCAAAAACAAAAACAAACAAAAAAGAAGAGAGATCTATCTCGGGCCCAGAAACTCATTATATGTAGAAGGGTCCCCGAGGCAGGCCACTGTAATCCTTATAAGTTTTGATGTGGCATTCGATTCGATGGGTAGTTATTACTTTAAGTATGTGTGTATGTAAATGTATATGGAGACCACATTCCATGAGAAGGAAAGCTTGAAAAGCAACAACTAATTGAATACAACCAAAAAGAAAAAGAATAATAATAACTTATGAAACTCTCCCCTTGACTAACTTACATACGAGTACATAATACTAAAAACAAAAACAAAAAAGGAGATGTAGATAATCCAGATGTAAGCTACATTGGAATGAGTTGAACAAGATCAGTTGTGAGAGTTCAGCATGGTGGCATTCGATTGATTTATAGAAGGAAGTATTCGAGTCATATTTCTACTTATATACATACGAGTATAGGGACATGCATATGTACATACGTATGAGTCCAGAAGCTAATGAAACATCCACAGAAACTGCAAGCTTGGTCTAAGTTTGCAGGCAGCCCAACATGTCCATGGACAGTAAATCATTGAGAACTTTGTAGGATTTGAATTGATTGATATTTTACGGATGCTTGGGTTTATTAAATTTGTACGGACGTTTTACGTGCATGGCATGGGGGCAGCTGCATTTGCTAATTTTTGAGATGTTGGATGTTTAAACATTTGTCATACAAATCATATATAGAGGACAGAAGATTGTATGATTGGCAATTGTAACTAATGAAATTTTTTAGATAATTAAAAAGTATCTATGTACACCTTAACATTAATGAAAAAACCAATATAATATAAATAAAAGTATATTAAAAAAAAGAATCCATACCCATGAGCGTTTTAGACATTACAAAAAATTACTTTATTTCAAACTTATGTTTTACATTCACAATCAATATTATATTTAAAACGTTTTCACACATGGTTTCGTTTGTCTTAAGCGCAATAATCTTCAATCCACACCACTCCACTCTCCACTTAGTGTATTCTGCTCGATTTCGAGTTCAAATTAACTATCACAATGAAATAATATTTTGGTCATGCTTGGCACTGGCCGCAAAACTTAACATTGGCTGCCCTGCCGTAAGGGAAGGGGAAACAAGCAAACTAAACATCATATCACATCGATTAACATAATATTTTTGAAACAAAACGCGTGCACATTCAATGGCCTAACGATAATAAGAGACTGCCCTGCCCGTCTTCTTCAATTTGGCAACTGGGACTCCACTCGCTGCAACGCTCACATGACCACAAAGTCGCTGAGGTTGCGCTCCGGCTGCACCATGCTTGGGGGCATCAGCTGCACCAGCTTGTTAAACAGGAAAGCTCGTTTGTTCATGAAATCGGAATTGCATTCGGTACGTGCCCTTTTGGTGCAAGATGAGGAGCTGGGACTGGAAGCAGTCTCCGATATGCCCGATGTGGCTAGACTTTCATTTGATTCCATGGAAATGTTCTCGGTTGCGCTGCCATCGGACAGTCCCTCTACAGAAGGAAATTTCTTATGAGTCTATGCCATTTATATATTACATATCTATCGAAAGTCGAACCTTTCATTGGTAGCTCAGCGTCAGTATCAAGCTCTTCCGTATCGCGACACAGAGCCGGCGTGGCCACACAACTGTCTCTCTGGTCTGGGCATCCGTCGTGTGTCTTAAAGAGCAGCGAGGCCAGCTTGTGAAACTAAAAATACGAAAAAATCCCCAGTTAAATCGGTAGTCAGAGGACTTGAGACCAAAGCTTACATTATTCAACTGCTCTGCATCGTCGTGATCAATGACATCGGCGATGTTGTGACGCAGATACTGCATTGCCTTTAGTGGATCTTGATGAGCCATCTCTTCATAGCGCATCTTACGCACCAAGAAACGGCAATGCTTTAGAATCTCGTCACGTTTAGGTCTGAAATGAGCATTGGTGAGTCTCTGTTTGGTTACGCTGACGAAGAATACTAACTTTTCCAAAGAGAGAAGCCAAAAATCATCCAGGCGCAGTTGTTGTTGCTGACAGATGCCAGGATTTCCACCAAACAGATAGTGGTTGTTGGCCAATTCATCGTAGACCAACTGATGCGCATAGCGTGGACAGGGCTCCAGAGCTGCATCACCCTTGGTGGCACCCAAAACATTGGCTCTGCTAATGGAGTTCCCATCTTGGCCACTGTGGCGACAATAGTAGATGCGCGACCACTTGTGTTGACGCAACGAATAGACCCAAAACGAGTTTGATGCATCCATATGCTGTATGTCACGGCGATCCTTAACCTTACTCAGACTCTAGAAATGTATTTTCTAGTTAAATGTTTAGTCATTGTTCGATTTCAGACTTACGGAGAATACATAGATTTCGTCGCGTTCACAATCAATCGTAGCCCGCAGTGTGTATCCCGATGAAGGCTCAAATTTGGCCTCATTGCCAGCGGTGGTGCCTTGATTTGGATGTTCTTTGTTAATCACTGATATGGCTTGGGTGTCCACGTCGTAGCTGAGGAACTCATCCAGATCCTCCTTGCCACGCTGCCCGCCATATATGTAGAGTTTTCTTTGTTTCTAATAAAATTGGTTTTGTTTTTAGTTTTCTCTTCGCTCTACAAACACTGAACGGGCTTACATTGTGGAAAACCATGCAGTGCGTGACGCGTGACTTAATAGACATAACATCAGCCTGCGAGGCGCTCGTGTGATGACAGTCGACGAGTATTTGGGTCCAGGTATTCGTTGCAATGTGGTAGGAGAACAGTCCGGAGTACTCGGGCTCGATGGCACCTGTGGCATTGACACTGCGTGGCGTCAGTATTTTGCCGCCAAATACGTAAATGGTTCGCTTGTCGCCATCAATGCACATCTGATGGTCGTAGACGAGCTGCGGCCCACCCACCTGGCTGGTGTCATCGCAGATCTGCATCCAGTTTCGAGCCCGTGTGTCGTACAGATAAAAGTCACTCTTGATGTATTCTGATGTTCGTATCGAATTGTCTAGGTAACGACCAAGCATAAAGATGTTCTCGCTTATCGGATCAAATATCATTTTGTGACAGGAGCGCGGCGTGGGCCCGCTGGACTGCTCTGACCGTTCGCATAGCAGCGTCCATTCATCTTCATCAATCTTATATACCCAAAGGTCACTCAAATCCTGATAGCCATCCCAGCCTCCATACAAATATATGAGGCGTTTTTTGGCATCAACCACCAACTGATGGCCACCACGATTGCCTGCAAACGAATGTTTAGTTAGGTTTTCTATATACATGTGAATAAATGTGAATAATACTGACCAGGTTTTGCCTCGCTTTCAGTGTACTTCATATGCCAGGTGTGCTTATAGTCTTGCTTGTACAAATACTCGTCCATGAGACCCTCATCAATGCACTCGGCAATGAAACGCTCGGCCTTCTCAAAGTCCCCTTGCACCACCTTTGAAGCGGAATCAGAGGAATTAAAATGTAAAGCACAGAAATAACAGAGTCGTTACCAGGTATTTGTGCAGTTCACTGATAAGCGGGTGCTCCAGTTTTACATTTGTTTGCTCCTGAAGAGCCCCAAAGGCAGTCATGTAGCCCTGCTGGCGAAAGTGCTTGAGGCACAGCTTGATAATCTCAATTTCTCGTAGTGTATTATAATTCTTCATTCGCGCACACGTATACATGGGATCGTCTTGGCCGTGGAGTTCGATGTACCATATACTAAAGTTGAACGATGGACCCCACGATAGCAGTGGAACAATCTTGAGATACAGTACTGGCAGGTTCTCCGAGCCGTCTTCGGTCATGCAGCGCAGGTTGAATACTTCTGGTATATTGTCGTTCTTGAGTCCACTTCAAACATATGAAACCGTTGCAGATTGTTAGATTGCATGTACGAAATATCTCACCTTTCTAGCAACAAGACCATGTGCTCATCCTCCAGGCCCCCAAATACGCGAAACTTCTTTATGTTGCAAACGTGCGACTTCTCGAATTTGCCAAATTTGATTTTCTTCACAATGGCGGGGCGTCGCAGCTTCAGGGTAAGAAACTGTGGGGGGATGTTGGTGTAGGCTGACCAGCGGGACGTTTGGTCGTTCGGTGTGTCTACCAGTACATTTCTGAAAATGAATAAAATACAAAAAAAAAAAACTCATAAATTATAGCTAAACGGTAAACGCGACATGCATACATATGAATGTATGTATGTGCATACACATATACACATGCAAAATTGACAACAACAATTACGAAATGCAACTGCAAAAGAACTGCAACGAAAAGCGTCTTATCTCTTTCCCGCTCTAACCAATCACTTACTCAGGCAGATAATTTGGCGAATAACTGGAATAACGGTAAATCTCAAAATTCAAACGCTCGGAGAGGGAAAATGGCTTCTGGCTTCCACTTGTGCTTGTGTTTGTCCCAGACACGGCATTTATGGCGGCGAAAGAGGAAAGCGCCACGGAACCGTGGGAACTGTTGTCCGTGGGGCTGGACGTTGAGGATGATGACATCGCTGCTTAGCTTAGTGCACAAATTAATGTAATTATCCTACGAAGTAAAGAGGTGTGTAGCGGCGGCCAAAGCTCAGGTTTAGTTTGTGTTGTGTTGCACTTCTCCTCCACAATTCGTTGTCGTTGTCTCCTGTTCCCACACCCACAAAGCAACAACAACAACAACACCCACAACAGCTGGCATGCATCGATAAATACATGCGTGAAACTGTTCTTGACAAATTTGTTGGTGGCAGTTATCGAAGGATTTTCTCTCTTTTTTTTGGGGATTTTCTCTCTGTTTTCTAAGTAAAGAGGAAGAATAGAGCTACAAGGAACATTTAAAAATAGTATAATTTTCCGCTGCTTAACTCAAGTTGTTCACCTGTTTAAAATATTGAAGATTTCGTCGGTATACTCACGGTATATTTTGAAAACGAGAAGGTATATTTAAGTATATTTCTGAGGGTCTGGCGCGGTATATTTGGTCCAAAAGTGCACGGTCACACTTTACTGTGTTTGTGGCTTGATTTTCGCGTTTCCCTACAAATTTAAATTGTTTTGTTAAAGAAAACTAACTGTATTATTATTAAAAATGTCCTTTGACGCGATACCCAAGGATCTGAGGGGTCTGCGTGCCTGCCTGGTTTGTTCCTTGGTGAAGGTAGGTTATGTTTGCTGAAAGCCGCGTCAAATCATGTGTAATTTTTCGCGTCTTTCAGAGTTTTGATCAATTTGAGACTGACGGCTGCGAAAACTGCGAAGAGTTCTTGCGCATGAAAGGCAACAAAGATAATGTGTATGACCACACGAGCAACAATTTTGATGGGCTCATAGCTTTAACCACACCCACCGATTCCTGGGTGGCGAAATGGCAGCGATTAGGTAAATCAATCTCAATGGAACGCTTCACTGCATGACATGACAGTGATTGACATCAGTTTTATGTATATTTCAGCTCGCTTCACACGCGGCATCTATGCCATATCCGTATCAGGAACTTTGCCTCAATCCACTTTAAGGGATATGAAGAACCGAGGTATTGTCTACAAGTCCCGCGATAGGAGTCAGCGCTAAATACTTCTTGGCCGTACAAAATACAAATGTAAATCTTTATTTTTAAGTCATAACAAAACCACGAATACATACAGTAGCAATACAAAATGGAGCAATTGTTGGATCAATCGGCCAATGAGCTAACACGCAATCCAACGCCGCCAGCTGTCGTCACATGAACGCCGAAGCCCGCCGACTCCAGTTCCTCCTTAAGCTTCCAGTACACTTCGTTGCACTCGAAGTTCTCCGGCAGCAGGACGATTGCATAGCCACCTGCACCGGCGCCGGTTAACTTCGAGAAGAAACCCCTCTTAAACGCAATGGTGAATATCTGTTCCAGCTTGGGGTGCGACACACCAATTGCCTTTAGAAGATCGTTGTTGATTTGGAAGAGGCGTTCGAGCTTTTCAAACTTTGCACTGTCGTCCTGGGCATTGCCGAAACTCTCGTATAGTGGGACAGCTGCCGTCACCAGCTCCTCACAGGCTTGCCAAATGGCTTCAATGAGCTGAGGAAATCCTTCAGCTAAGTGGCGAACCTTGGCCACGATGTCTGCCGTACTGCGGCTAACGCGGCTGTCAACCAGCAGAATGTTGAGCGGTTTCTGTATGCGCAGCGACTGAAAGCCTTGTCCTTTCACATAGCGCAACATGCCGCCGTAAGTGCACACTGTGTTGTCCAATCCGGAGGGTGTTCCATGGTTGACACGTTCCGATTCGTAGGCCCAGCTCGAGATAAGCGCCTGATTTTCCTCCTGCGAGTAGTTCTCCTGGTCAAAGTGACCGGACAAGATTAGGAAAGCGGCGGCCAAGGCGGCTCCAAATGAAGCAGAGCTGCCCAAGCCGGCGCCCACGTTCAGCTCGGTGTCTACCTGCACCTGGAAACCGGTTTGAAGAGCCAGCTTGGGATCTTTTGGCGACGAGAGTACAGCTCCCGCCAACAAGTAGTATATGGAAATGAACGCCCTTTGGGTATGCGGCTTTGGTGTGCTGCCAGCAGCTCTTTCCAGTTGCTTGGACACTTCCCCGCGCACCTCCTCCATCAACTTGGCGGTGCTGTCCGCCGGATACTTGCTGCGGAAGTTTTCGAGAAACGCATTAAAGTCACCCAGTTGTATCTCCAGGGTGCAGTTGAGAGCGTCCAGCTGGAAGCTGGCTACCTGACTGCCCGCCTGCTGGCGAAACTGGAGATTGGTGCCCAGGCCAACTACAGCGGCCAGGGCGGGCCTATTGTAGACGACGGCGTGTTCGCCATGGAGAATGACCTTGCCCGGAGAGTGGACCTGGAACTTGAGCATTGTATTGTTCTGCGGCGAGTTTGCTTTATCGGTAGTATATCAGCAATTTGAAATTGTAATGGGGAGCGTACAAAATGTTGTGTCTCTGCGTCGAGTACTTAAGTTTTTATTGTTTTTTTATGTAACGTATGCATTTAGCAGATCATTTGCGTAGTTTATTTAGCAACTCCAAACTCCACTCCGGCTGCGTCTGGCTGTTGTTTCCCTTTCACTTTCTTTGTTCGACTGTTTTCGGTGGCTGGCTTCGTTTATACTGGTTCCGATCGTCACACGCAAAAATCCAAACTACCAACGAACGACAACAGGTTACGGCTTATTGTTGCTGCTGTTGCTGCACTTTCTCCCACTCTTCGGGAGTGTATGACTTTTGCGAGAAAGCGTGTATTTCTTTTAGTTCTGCGGCCAGCGCCGTGTTCACTAATCTGTGTTTCTGTAGCAACGTCTTGCCTTTGAATGCTTCGGACACAATAATCACGCTGAATTTTCCACCGCAGCCGTCCGATTCATCAACCACATTCACGTACTTGGCTTCAAGCTCTTGTCTAAGCTTGTCTTCCAAATACTTTGAGTTGTATTTACTCATTTTTGTTGAATTTTGAAAATTTTCGTTTTGAGGTAGAGGTTATAAAACTATCGATTGGGTTTTTCCGTCCGTATCGGTTGTTTCGATATATATTAATCTACAGATTTTTATGTTTTCGACAGAACAATTTAAATATATCAATGTAAATAATGCATTTTAATAATACTCTTAAAACTCTTAAAACCGTCACTGTGGAGAATCTGTTGAGATTTGTAACCGGCAAAGGCGATAGTAATTGTAGCGTTGCTTATCGATAGTTCAAGAATCGCTGCTTTTGCATCACCAACAAAAAAACACTAGATTGCAGAAGCGCCAAATTTTTACGTTTATTAGGATTAAGTATACTTTTTGTTAAAATAAAGAACGAGTATTATACAAAGCAGTCCAGAGAAGGCAAACTCAATTAGTTGGAACCGTTTTATTCATACGTTTGTCACATCATGTCCTTTTTTGGATCGAGTACGCCGCTGGGAGCAACAAGCACGCCGGCCAAAAGTGAGTTCCAATAAAGAAAAGCCGCCAGCCCCCCTTCAAGCCCTTTTTTCCAAGTATCTGTGGGGCCCTGTTCCACTTGGTAGCTGGAGTAATTTTTTGGCATCCTGTAGGCTTTGTATGCGAATGTCCTTTGGATCGATGCTGCAACAGGATGATCATTCGATTATGAGGCACGAAAGATAAAAACGAAACTCACCCTTTCTGGTGGATAACGTATGCCACATACGCCGCTGAGCCCAGCACCAAGAGAAACAAAATAAGAAGAACAGCCATGTCTTTCGACCTCTTGCGTTCAGTGTCCGAAGCAAACTATTGCTAGCTTAGAATTTCGGACACTGTAATCACAGATAAGATCCCACGGCGGAAGCTGACTACGAATTATTGACCCAATTTTTTGTTTTGCTTATCTCCTCACATGGAAGCCGGCGGCATGTTTGGTTCACCATTTGGATCGGCGACCGGAGCTGGTCAAGCAGTGTCTGCGTTCGGCAGCCCGGCGACAGCAGCTCCAGCGTTTGGAACCGCAACAGCGACGCCTGCTTTTGGAGGCGGAACTGCGTTCGGCACTGCCACGGCTGGGCAAGGCTTTGGAGCTCCGACGGCAGCACCAGGTTTTGGAGCTGGTAATGCTGCACCAAATTTTGGTACTCCCACATCTGCCCCACCGTTTGGCGGCTCTGCTTTTGGTGGTGCCCCAGGTTTTGGAGCTGTTCAGACAACAACAGCCACACCAGGACTTGGTGGGGGCTTCGGCGGATTCGGTGCTGCTCCGGCATCAGGTCAGGGAGGCTTGTTTGCCGCACCAGCGACAAGCACTGCGCCACCGGCTTTTAGTGGATTTGGTCAGCCGGCCGCTACCAGCACAGCGCCAGCGAGTGGATTTGCAGGCTTTGGAGCAACAACGACCACGGCGCCAGTGTTCGGTGGCTTTAGCACTGGCCAGGCGACAGGATTTGGCGGTAGTGTGTTTGGATCCAGTGAGTTCTAGTATCCGGATTCGTATCCGTAATATTTTTAACCTGCTTCACTTTGCAGACTTTGGAAAGCCGTCGAATACCACAGTAACGCCTGGCTTTGGTGGATTCGGTGGCACCAGTTTTATGCTCGGCCAGCCACAACAGCAGCCCGCACCCATATCAGCCGATGAGGCGTTTGCTCAATCCATTCTGAATGTCTCAATATTTGGCGATGAGCGTGATAACATTGTGGCCAAATGGAACTACCTGCAGTCCATGTGGGGCACTGGAAAGCTTTTCTATTCGCAGAGTGCGCCCCCAGTCGATATCACGCCGGAGAATTACCTGTGTCGCTTCAAGGCCATCGGGTACAGTCGCATGCCAGGCAAGGATAACAAATTGGGACTCGTGGCTCTGAATTTCGACAGGGATCTGTCGGCCATCAAGTAAGTGCACGCCGCCATATCCTCCACGCACGATTTAATATTTCACATATTTCGTTTGCTTTTTTAGACCGCACCAGCAACAAGTGATTCAAACGCTGCACAGCTTGTTCGGCAGCAAGCCCAACATGATGGTGCACATTGAAACCATAAAAGAGTTGGAGAATAAAAAGTGTCAGATGGTTATCTACGTGGACGAGAAACTGCAGCATGCCCCGAACGAGGGAAAGCGGATTTTGGCCACTGAGCTCTCGAACTATTTGAACCAGGCATCGCTTAAGCCTCAGCTCACGAATCTGGGAATTGTGGAAGCATTGGCCCTGGTGTTGCCGGACGAGGATCAACTGAAGGAGTATCTTGAGAATCCCCCCCGTGGCGTAGACCCCCGTATGTGGCGTCAAGCCAATTTGGATAATCCAGACGCTGGTAAATTCCTGCCAGTGCCGATGATTGGCTTCAACGACCTGAAATGGCGCGTCAAGTGTCAGGAGCAGGAAACAGACACCCATGCCCTGTACATGAAGAAGGTGGAAGGAGAACTAACGGAGCTGAGACACCGGCATGCCACGGCCTCGGCCAAAATCTTGGAGCACAAACGCAAGCTGGCTGAGCTCAGTCATCGCATACTTAGGGTAAGCATGAAATGGGGTTCCTTCTTGCTGGTCCACTAACCTTTTCTTGCATCGAACAGATTATTGTAAAGCAAGAGTGCACACGGAAGGTGGGCTCCTCGCTGACGCCCGAGGAGGAGGCCTTGCGCACCAAGCTGCAGAGCATGCAGGCCGTGGTATCGGCGCCCACACAGTTTAAGGGGCGGCTCAGCGAGCTGCTGTCCCAGATGCGAATGCAGCGGAATCAGTTTGCTGGCAATTGTGGGTCGGAGTATACGATGGACGCGGAGGCCGAGGATGAGATGAAGAATTTTTTGACCATGCAACAGCGCGCCATGGAAGTGCTGAGTGAGACTGTCAATAAAGACCTCAAAGCCCTTGATGTTATTGTTAAAGGATTGCCCGAACTTAAGCAGGCATGATCGAGAGAGGAGCGAAACCGTTTAATAAATTGCGAACCGATGTCCGAGTCAATGAACAAGTTATGGTCGTTACACTTTTCCCATTATGCCGCCACCATTAAACATTTCCTGTAACTTTGAACTTGCACTTTTACGGCTATGGATCACAAGACAATCGAAACGCGTTCACACATTCGTCCCCAGTGCTGCGGAAATAATTGTGTGGGTCAATGCACTTACGGTCGAAGCCGATGCCGAAGCTGAAGCAGTCGGCCGACGGCCGACTTTTCTCTGGCCACCTCGCCTGAAATTGGACAATTTCTTCAGCGGCAGGCGATGCAATTGCCTGAGTGACAAACTGTTAGTCGCCTCGCCGGCACTTCCATTCCAGTTTGTTCAACTGCAACTGCAATTCCAGTGCGCTGCTGTTACATTAACATTATTATGCACCAGAGTGTCGTGCACACAGGCAAAGATTTGATTTGGCGTGCATGTCTAGTTTGGCTCGTTACATATTTATTTTCTTGTGTGAGAAACTTGTTTCTTGCTCCCAGCCCAACTGCTCTGCTCCTTGGCTGATGTTGGATTGTTGTTGTTGGTGGAGACTTCCGAGCTTCCGTTTGATCGTGGAGCTCCATGCAGCGTGGAGCTTGGAGAGCCACTATAAATGAATTGGCCTGCCCAGAGGAGGCCTTACTTCGTGTGAGATCTTTGAAAGTGAAGGTGCTAGAGTCAGAGAGCGCAGTGCATGTGAAACCGCAAGTGGCTCATTCAAAGTGTTTGGATTTGGGTTTGTGTTCGTCTCTGTCATCAAAAGGCAAGATGAGTGGCATATTGATTGTGAGTGGACAGTGTGAAGGATCCGGATACGGTCCTAATTCTATGTTCTTTGCAGCTGCTGTTGTGTATCTTCTGCTCGAGTGTCGCGGCCAGCCCCACAGCTGCACGCCGGGCACAGCTCCATGACGATGTACAGCTGCTACACCCGCACATTATCACCCTTGAGCGCCTCGAGAATTTGCTAAGGCGTGCTGGCGAAATCTTTGGCCCCGCCATTGAGGAGGACTCAATGGCGGAAGGCAGCAGCCAGGTGGAGCAGCAAGTGCAGCCGCAGCAACTGTTATTGCCGCCCACAGCGCAGCCGTACAACTTCTATATGCCCCTCTTCGACTATGTGGATCCGAAATTGGATGCCAAGAGCAGGCTCCTGGAGAAGATAGCTCCTCCGCCTCAGCCGCAGAAGCAGGAGCACAACTACTACGCGGACAAGCCAAAGAAGAAGCCAAAGAAGTTCAATGCGGCAGCCAAGCATATCAATCTCAATCTCAAGTGGCTGAACACATATGAGAAGGCCATGGGAGGGGAGACGCCCAAAGCCCTCTACCTGGAGCAGGATGAGCGCAATCGCATCAACTTTGACGATTCCTTCTTTGCTGTGGACATGCACGTGAAGATGCCGGATAATCAGCCACACCAAGAGGCTGGCCTCGGAGAACTGCTGCAGCATGGCGAAGAGCAGGCGGAGGAGGATCTAATGGCGGCTCCTGCGCAGTTCCATTACGACTACAAATCGACTGGACAGGATCAGCATCACTCGTAGAAATTGTGTGTTTTTTTTTAAATTTTAGTCACGATATAAAAATGCAGTAATAAATGCAGTACTCCATGCGGGAAGTGTGGATGGCTAGAGCGAAGCTTTGCTGTTTGCCTACTTCTCCTCCTTTGTCTTGCGGAGATCTTTGCATAGGGTTTCCAGGACATCTTGCTCCACAATCGGCTCGGCCTGCTTGGACTTTTCAGCCTCCTGTGCCTCTAGCTTGGCCACGCCTTCGCGCACTACCTTCTCAATGTCATCCAGCAGTCCTGATGCTCCGAAACGGAAACGTTCGGGACGCAGCCAGCGCATCCCAAGAGTCTCGTTCACCAGCGTCATCCAGGCAATGGCATCACGCACAGTTCGGACTCCGCCAGCGGGCTTCAGACCGACAATCTGGCAAGTGCGACGCTTGAACTCCTGTATGGCGAATATCATAACCAAGCCGACAGGCAGCGTAGCATTCACCGCCTCCTTTCCAGTGGATGTTTTTATAAAGTCTGCTCCAGCCAGCATGCAAACCATAGCCGCTTTGTAAACCTGTAATGAGAATCAGCCATCAGTCAATCAGCCAGTAATTATGCCTGCCGTGTCAGCAGCTTACATTCTCCATTGTTCCGAGCTCTCCGATGGCCAGAATAGTCTTCAAGTGTGCGCGCTGGCCACAGGCACTGCGCATCAGCACCACCTCATTGTAGAGACCCTCCCAGTCGCCGACCAGAGCCAGCTGCCGGTTGATCACGATATCAATTTCGGTTGCGCCAGACAGAATAGCATGACTAATCTCTTGCAGGCGCGTCTGCAATCCGTATTGGCCAGTGGGGAAGCCAGTAGCTACAGCTGCAATGGCCACCTTGTCCAGCTTGTCGTACTGCTGCAGTGCCTGATAGGCATCCTTCACTCTAGCAGGGTAAACACAGACGGCGGCAGTATGAATCTCAGAGAGCAGAGCCCGTTCGAAGAATTTGTCAAAGAATTGTGGCTCGAATGGATAACAGGCACGCAGGCACAGCCTTCGCACGTTGGCAGCAGTATCATCACCCGCTAGCGTGGTCAAATCTGTCAGCATCAGGGCCCTCAAGGCCCAGGCAATTTCATTTACGCCACTTACATGGCAGCGTTGAGACACCGTCATGGCAATCTCCTCAATCTGACGCAATGAAATGTTAACCGCGAGCAGGGAGGGGTCTACAAAGTGAATCTCAGTTTCGTTGTCCAAAATCAATGAATGTTTTACTCACCATAGGGAAGGGTTTTGTTCACTTCAAGCTCCTTAACCTCCATTTTCCTGTTTATGCTCCGTTCTGAGATATGCAAATGATCTTGACCTTCTTCTTATCTTCTGCCCAACACTCAACACTCAACCGAAAATATAGGAAGTCTTATCAATTTAAACGCCGAACAGCTGATGGTAGAGTTGCCAGGTTTCATGTGCAACGGGTAATTTTAATACGCGATCACCAGTGACGTGACGTGACGTAACTCTGAATAACGGAATATACTACTAATATATATTCTAATAAAAATAAAATATTGACTGGTCTGAAATAAATTTGTTTGTAAATTGCTTTAATACTTTTGACAAGTCAACCATTTCTAATTCTATGCTTGTGTTTCTAGGGAGACACTATAACGAAATTTTAAAAGTGTACTTCGACATGAGGTATACGAATAATTTATGTATTTGCACTAATAAAACTATTGCTTTGCTTTTGTGCCTGGAGGCCTGGTCTGGGGGGCTTGTCTCAGCGATGCTTTGCCCACTGCTCCCAGTATTCACGTTTCTGCATCTCGTACAGCCTTGAAATCGTACGCTCGAAGGCAAACAACTCCTCTTCACCGGTGAATACGCTGGACTTGGAATCGTGCTGCAATGAGAACAGAACCCTATTGTTGTATTGGAAGGATCAGTAGTGGCAGCCCGATCGACTCACCGTGCCATGTGTGATTTTCAAGTCGTCCATTAGAATGCGATCCGTGTCTGAGATGTCACCGGGATCGGTCACCTGGAATAGATTGTCCAGCGGGTAGTCGGCTGATATAACCACGCGCACTCGGTTGTCGTATAGCGTATCTATGAGCGTTATAAATCGCCGCATTTGTGACTTGATATTTAGGTTCAGCGAGGGCACGTCTCTGATGAGGACGGTGTGAAAGAATTGAGAGATCTGCAGATAGTCGCTACCCGCCAGAGGCTGTGTGAACAGAGACGAAAATATAAATATTTCCTCGAGATTGTTTGTTGCTAGGGAGCAGAGCACTTACGCGATTGCAGAGCTCTTCAAAGCTGCTGTCCAAGACCTGGCCACACGTGCGACGGAAGGTAAGATCCCGTCCAAAGTGAGTGATGGTGCGCGGCCTGATGATATCGTTCTCCTCGGCACACAGTATCTTGAACATGCGATTCATGCTGCCCTCTGCATCGCTCTGGCCCTTGACGAAGTAGTTGGTGTCACCAGACTGGGCAATGCGTCGATAATCGATGGAGTCGAGTTTGGCCAGCTGACAGCGCCGTTGCAGCAGGGCTATGAACGGGAGAAAATTGGTCCGCTGCAGACCATTTTTATACAGATCCTCGGGATGCCGATTGCTGGTGGCAACTATCACAATGCCCTTCCTGAAGAGATGCGTAAAGAGTCGCTTCAGGACCATGGCGTCGGCTATATCGGTGACCTGAAACTCATCGAAGCAAATCAGCCAGGACTCGCGGGCTATGATGTCTGCCACGGGTTTCGTTGGATCAAAAGGAGCGGGTTTATCCGAATTGAATGCCCGGTCGATGGGACCCTGCCGCTCCTTCGCCTCGTGAATCCGGCCATGCACACTGTTCATGAAGGCAGTAAAGTGCACACGTTGCTTGCGAGGGATCTGTAAAGCAAGTTCGCCTGTTAATTTGTGTTGCTTGTGTAAGCTATTAGTCACCTGAGTGCAGCAGTCGTAGAACAGGTCCATTAGGGTTGTCTTCCCCACGCCCACGCTGCCATAGAGGTACAGGCCCATTGGGGAATGGCTGCCTGCGTTTAAGTCATCTGCCGCGTCATCGTCGTCGGTTCGCTTCCGACCAAAGATGGAGCTGAAGAAGCCGCCACTGCTGCCTCCGCTTTGCTCTCTCGGTCTGTAGCCCTGAATCCTGTGGTAAAGAGCATCTAGTAGCTTCATTGTCTCCAGTTGCCTGTCGTCGGGCATCATTTTGCCCGTCCTGACACGCTCCTCATATTCCGGCAAAGGACTCATGTTTCCACTGGCATGGCAGGTTTGGTTGGTTGCAGCAACCAATTGGTGCGCCCTGAACAACAGTGTTCTATGTCGCGTACAGCGGATTACAACACCGAATTGACGACGAAACATGGTGGGGGGAAGGATTACTAGCGCTCGGATCTAACTGTTATTCTCGTTAGCTTAACATATTATTACATAAATCTAATTTCCGCGTTGTTGACCGCGAATTTTGGCCGTGAAATTTGGCGTATTTTGGTGCATGATGATGGTACCGTGGATTTTATACCGTTTGACCCTCAGAAATATACCGAATATTCTTTCTCATTTGAAAAAAATATAACGTTAATATTCCGAAGAAAAAAAAGAACTTAACTTTTTATTTACAAAACAAAAATGAGCATGATAACTTTCACCTGAACTCCGCTAAAATTCTTCAAGTTTCATAATATTCGTGCGTAAATTTAGATAACCAAGGGTTAATAGTTCTCTGTCCATGTTCGGAAATCATATTCCTTGATTTTGATGTTTCGTTTAATATTACCAGCCAGTTAGGATCCTTAGTTTTGAAAATAGAATTTTATCCAATTAATTAATCATTTTTCCACAAGATTGTTGATATTAAGAACTCCCTTTTATTGGATTGCTTATAAAATATGGTTAAAAAAAGGTCAACACAAACTAGAAACATAAAACAAAAGTGTGCATGTAATGAAACGTGAGTATTTTCGGAATTACGACATTTGAACACTTGTTGCTTGTCAACCGGTGGTATGGATGTTTGTATACCCTATTTTTGCTTCAATTAATGACTCGTTAGCTTAACAGTAGAGGTGTCGAGGGCACTATCGATAGTATCGATATTTTACTGCTAGCCTCTACTATCGACGGTTTTGCGACTATCATGATAGTATCGAGCTACAGTTGTTGCGCTTTTGATATGTTTGGATTAGCTGCACTAAAATACGAAGAAAAATTTTTAAGCAAATCGACAGGTGGTATCTAATTTTTACAATGGACAAGTTCCTAAAAGGTTTTAATGGTTTTTTAATAAATTATTTGAGCACGATACTATCACGATAGTATCGATTGTTTTTTCAAAACATTCAACGTTGATATTCCTCGATTTTGATATTCCGTTTAATTTAATTTAATTTAATTTATCCGATAGATACATACATTTTCTACTACTTGGCAAGTTTTCAGAAGCCCTTTTTATTGGATTATTTGCATATTAAGGTTCAAACAAAAACAACATAAAACGAATGTGACTTCGTTTTGTGGCGTTGCCAGACTCGTGCAATTCGTAGTTGGTTGCGGGCTGCCACACCATGATATTTTGTGATATGAAATTCGTAAATTTTGATATTCAGTTTAATGTTAATAGATATTTGGGCCTCTCAGCCCTAAAAAAAAATTGTATCCAATTCCTCAATGAATTTTGTTTAGGATTGGCTAGTTTTCAAAACGGCCAAAGCATAAAACGTAAATGTTGACTAAATGTGACGTCAGTGTTGCTGGTCAACCAAGTTTCTTCCATGCGTATGCACTTTTGTATACCTTACTATCTTTTAATTGATGTTAAATGTTTTGTTCCAAGCTCCATTGAAACATTATTTATGATTTTATCATAGATTGACATGTTTTTTACCTCTTAATGCATATGTTTGTGTATATATACACTTATCCCGGTTCTGATACCTATTATTGGAACCCGTGAGCTGCAAAATTTCGTTAATATCTTGAAAACAGAGACTGAGTAGTTTCTGCATTAATTGGAGCCTGAAATTACAAAAAATATCTCAAGCCATAATATCCATTTTCCCCAGATTGTTGCTCATCCCGTGCCTAAGTTGCACAACAATGCTGCCTCTTCATTTCCCCATGTTGCTGAACTTTTTCCCATACAAATCAAATGCATCTTACGGGAACGCAACAATTAATATTCATTCCGTTAAGAACATGTGTCTCACACCACGAAAATGAGGGGAAAGTCACCACGAAAACGCTCTCTTCACCTCAAAAAAAAAGAGAGAAAATTTTGAAAACTCACCAAGAATTGAGAGCGAAAAATATCAGTATTTTTTGTGCGCTAAATTGAGTTTGGCGGTCAATTTGAAAAGTGTCTTAATATATGGAAACCTTCTCATTTAAAAAAAACTATATAACGTAAATATTCCGAGGAAAAAAACGAACTTAACTTAACTATTTATTTACAAAACAAAAATGAGCATGATAACTTTCACCTGAACTGCGCTAAAATTCTTCAAGTTTCATAATATTCGTGCCTAAATTTGGATAACCAAAAAGGGTTAATAGTTCTCTGTCCATGTTCGGAAGTCATATTCCTTGATTTTGATGTTTCGTTTAATATTACCAGCCAGTTAGGATCTTAAGACCTCCTGAATGCAATGTTCATTTTGCTTCAATTAATGATAATAACCTAAATAATAATGACCATTTACAAGATTGATATGTTTTTGATCTATTTCTACATTTGATTTGTTTTCAGATCTTCATGCAGTTCATGTTTAAGCATTTAATATCCGGTTCTACAATGCCTTTTACAAATACTTAGATCCATACCAGAAACCATAGCTCATTTTGAAAATAGCCTTTCAGGTTTAGGATGAAATTAATAGTAAAATAATTTTCATTTTTTCCACCTGCACAATTTTAACAAATATTTCTATCAAACACCTCAATTATAAAGCTGTAAATGCGTTTCACTACCTATTTTAACCAAGAATGACGAGCACTCTGCGGATTAGGGCTCATTAAATTTTATTGTGCAAATCTTTTAAGTAAAACCTCGTAAATACCATAAACCACCGAGGAGCTTCCTGGGGTATGAATAGCGTAATGCTCGTGATTTGGAATTTCCCCCTCTATTCGATTCAGTATTGAATTAAACAGATAAGATAACGAAAACTGCCAAACATATTACCTACACATGAATGTAGTTCGTTGCTTTTTTAGGCTGTTGCATTATTAAATATCACTTGAAGTTTTCATCTCAAAAACAAAATAAAGTGGAAAAGTGGATAACTTTGATATGAATATATTTTAGGTATGAATCTATACCTCTGCTTGTACAGGGTATCCAACAGGCATGGCCATCTATCCTCACGACATTCTTCATGCGGCTGAGGTGGTGCACTATCGTCTCCAGGAACAAGATAAGATGTTACAGGTGTTAGCCATTGCAAGTGGATCCACTCAAGGCGTCTACGGCCTGGATTTTCACAGCTTTGGATCATTATAAATAGAAGTGCACCTGGCCCAGAGCGGCTACAGTTAACTGCAGTTAGTGTGAGCGC